CTATTTGGCCAACTGGACCGCACTGCAGTTTTTTTTCCGATTCTTGACTTCAGGTGTAAAAAATTAGACCTTTTGTCAATTAAAAATCTTGTAACCTCCGTGTTTTTGAAAGTGTATCCCGAATCCTCACATTCGAAAGCTTCACCGTTCATATGAGCGGCAATCATGTGTTGTGGTGTTTGAGACATTGTGGAAATTATGGTGTCTGAATAACGGGGTGTAACAACGTTTTAGTGTTTGAGTGTGTTTGAGTCTTTGAGTGTGTTTGATAAAGGCTTTATATAATGGCCTTAGTGCTTCTGAATGTTTGAGTCTTTGAGGGTGTTTGATAAAGGCTTTATATAATGACCTTAGTGCTTCTGAATGTTTGAGTCTTTGAGTGTGTTTGATAAAGGCTTTATAAAATGGGCTTAGTGTTTTTGCATGTATCAATAAAGTTCTGCCTTTCATTTACCATGCATGCTCCTTAATCAATAACGTGAACCACAGACTTGATATGAATTGACACTACAAAGTTCTGCATTTACATGTGATGTTCAAGTCAGGAATCTCTGTCTGCCTTACATTTATGGCGCATGCTCCATAATCAATAACGTGAACCACATACTTGATATGAAGTGACAATGCAAAGTTCTGCATTTACATGTGATGTTCATTTATCACGCATGCTCCATAATATGAACAAAGTATAATATGGAAAATAGTATAATACGAAATAAATCACACTTTGCCTTAAAAATATTAAATATATTATATCGTATGATGAAATAAATCACATTACGATGAATAAAAATATTATATAATATGCTGAATAAATAATCACACTATGCAATGAATGAACCACTGTATGATTAGACGCTACACTGAAGGAATCTCCTTTTTTCACATGTGATCTGCATCCCTACATTGACCATGTAGCCTATTTGATTAGACGCTACACTGAAGGAATCTGCATCCTTTTACCAAAAAGACACTGCAAAGTTCTGCATTTACATGTGATGTTCAAGTCAGGAATCTCTGTCTGCCTTACATTTATGGCGCATGCTCCATAATCAATAACGTGAACCACAGACTTGATATGAAGTGACAATACAAAGTTCTACATTTACATGTGATGTTCAAGTCAGGAATCTCTGTCTACCTTACATTTATGGCGCATGCTCCATAATCAATAACGTGAACCACAAACTTGATATGAAGTGACAATGCAAAGTTCTGCATTTACATGTGATGTTCATTTATCACGCATGCTCCATAATATGAACAAAGTATAATATGGAAAATAGTATAATACGAAATAAATCACACTTTGCCTTAAAAATATTAAATATATTATACCGTATGATGAAATAAATCACATTACGATGAATAAAAATATTATATAATATGCTGAATAAATAATCACACTATGCAATGAATGAACCACTGTATGATTAGACGCTACACTGAAGGAATCTCCTTTTTTCACATGTGATCTGCATGCCTACATTGACCATGTAGCCTATTTGATTAGACGCTACACTGAAGGAATCTGCATCCTTTTACCAAAAAGACACTGCATTTACGCATAGCTGAAGCCAAGTGCCAACCATGCACTCACACCACACATATGTCACGCCAAGTGCTCAGCATGCACCCACACAACACATATGTCACGCCAAGTGGTCAGCATGCACCCACACAACACATATGTCACACCAAGTGCTCAGCATGCACTCACACAACACATCTCATCACAAGTTTCAAGCATGCACTTAAACCATATCCACTCTTGGAATATAAATATGGGGTATTTACCCATCAAATTCTACTCACACTTAAAGTCTCCTACTCTCTTACTCTCCTACTCTCAAACTCGCAACCTCCCAAAGTCTGAAACTCTTAAACTTTCAAACTCCCAACCCTCGACAATGTCTGTACTAACCATGGGTGATTCTCATAGAGGGACGGCTGAAAACATCGCCGAGTTTGTAAGTCCTTTTGTTCATGTCAATGTCTTACCATTTTGTCCAAAAAAACTATAGTAATTTTGTCTAAAACACTATAGTAATTTTACTTCATTATTTTGCAGGATGTATCAAGGTTTCGGTGCCGTGTGCATGACTACATACCACACGACCCCCTCATTACAAACTATCTTATACATTGTGGGTTTGGGCGTGTGACCGAAATCAAATCTTATTCCCTTGACACAAAATTTATTCTAGCGTTGTTAGAACGCTGGAGACCGGAGACACATACATTTCACCTTCCTTGTGGTGAGTGTACTGTGACTCTCCAGGACGTTTATATGTTGCTCGGCCTACACATTGATGGTAAGGCCGTCAACGGCAAAGTTGGTGTCCCTGACCAACTTTGTGAAGATTTATTGGGCGCCCCTCTTTGTGAGGACGGACCTCAGGTAGGAAGCAAGGGCCGCCCGAGGGGTCAGGGTATTAACTTAAAATACCTGAGAGAACAATACAACAATATTGTTTTAACGGATGAGAGCACCGAGTATGAGAAAATACAAAAAACTCGGTGCTATATTATGATTTTATTTGGCCACTTTTTATTTCCAGACGGCACTGGAAATACAATTCATACTATGTATTTACCATTATTGCGTAATATCAACAAAGTGTGTGAATATAGCTGGGGATCAGCAGTCCTCGCCCATCTATATAGCGCACTTTGTAAGACGTCCAAAAAAAATTCTTGTACTCTTTATGGTTGTGCCTATCTTTTGCAAGCTTGGGGTTGGTCGAGGATGCCACTGCTTGCTCCAATAAACAGAAATTCTTTTACGTTCCCCTACGCAAAAAAGTAAGTATCTTTTCAACATTATTTGCCAGTTACGTATTCTATTTCAGTTAATACTTTCTAACTTGTGTTTATTTTTTTAGGTGGTATGTACCCGGGATGAATTATGAGAAATGTCCAAGGCACTCTATAATTCAATACCGCAACCTAATCGACCACCTTGGGCCAAACGATGTAAGCTATTTACCCTAATTTTCTTTAATGTATATGCATAAACTTCACACATCCTGTCTAACTTAATTTTACAACTATATTGTAGTTTGTCTGGATGCCGTACGAGGGTCTCGACCACCAGCCCAACCCCGACGATGCCGCTGTGTGGACAGCAAAGACACCTATAATTAGGTTCACTACGGTGGAGATGCACCAAAGTGATCGGGTCAAACTCCAATTTGGGATGCATCAAGATATTCTAGATGCTCCCGTAGACTTGGGGAAGTGGCATCAAAAATGGGTAGACGCACAGTGGATGATTGGTGATTGGAAGGAGTTTGCAAAGGAGCTGCGTGTACTTTGGAAAAGAAGAAGGCAATACGTCTTAACCGACAGTATTGTGCATGGGGCTAGGCCAAGTCTTCAATATATGACTTGGTTTAGTTCTGTCACGACAACCCAGCCTTTCCTGTCCCAGCCAACCTATTTGGCCGATCCAAAGGAACGCGGTTCTTCATCATACCCACAAATACCAACAGACACCCCCCATCAACAACAACCACCATACGAAGACCATCAACAACAACCACCATACGAAGACACCCCCCAATCCATGCCAACATATACCCCCTATCAACAACAACCACCTTACATGCCACCAATCCAATCTCAGCCTCAACCATCTCACCAGTACAGCCCTGATATGTCTTTTGATCCTACCCCTGCCACCTATATCCCGGACAACTCATTCGACCCTACCCCCTCCAACTACACCTCCAACCACCCACTATTTAACTACCACACCCCACAACAACCAACACACCTAGACCAACCCAACTCCATGTACACTTTCGGACAACCATACCGTCCATACTCCATCCACCCTCCCCGACAATCGTACCAAAACATGGGCATTGCCCTTGACTACGGAAGTGCATGTGACATGGGACCTCCCGGCTATTGGGGTCAAATGATGCAAGATCTAGCTGATACGCCGGGGCCGTCCCAACAGAACCCTCCACCATAACTCAACACACAACATCCTGACACACCACAACAACCTCGTCGAAGACCTCGCCGCAACACGCGTCCCCCCCAATGTGGCACCGGTGGTCACTTGGATAGAGCCGATCATTAGGATTTTTTTTTGTAATTTTCATTATATTTATATTTTTGTTCGTGTATTTTTAATTACATTATAAATTAATATAATTTCATTTTATTATCACTTTATGCTTACGAATATATTTTAATTATATTAATATTAATTAGATTATAAATTAATATATTTTATGGTTAATAATAATAATAATTAAAATTAAAAAACAATTAAATTTTAAGACATTTAAATATGAAAACAAAAATATATTATATCATAATTAAAAGGAAATTGAAAACGAAAGAAACCCTAAAATACAAACCTCATTCGCCAATTGAATGGGCGAAAGCCCACAAATTACACCCTTTCGCCAAACCAAATGGCGAATTACTTATGTTGCTGGTTGGCCTAATTCGTCAAACGAATTGGCGAACGTCTGTTGAAGCAATTCCAAACCTTGCCATTTTGGTAATTTTTTTGAAAGTATAATTTGTTTGGTAAATAACAATTATAACATTGCTATTTTAAAAAAAAATTCACCAATTTTGGTAAAAAAAACATCAAAACTATTTTAAACAAATCATCATTGAACACGTTACACTAAATATGTGATTCATATCACTACTTTGATCCATCTCGTCCACCAATCCCTCTAAAACAAACACCAAAAGTCTTCTCACCCACAACACTTTTCTCCAACTCACAACAAAACACAAAACACTGTCCAAATCAAATTTCAAAACTCATTTTCGTTACTCAAATCTTTTCCATTCCACCATTTTTTCTTCTTTTAGTTCCTTCAAAAACCTCTTAGTCACTAAGCACCAACCATTACATTAGGACCAACTGTTTCAGTTTAACAGAAACAAGAAACCGTTGCCACCGTTCAAGCTTCACCAGTTCAGGTCTCATTTCTACAATAACCGATCTAAAAGACGGAACAATAATGCATTGCTGGATACCCAAAACCCAAACCGAATCAAAGCCAAATCTCCTCCTAATCCATGGCCTCGGAGCAACTGCACTATGGCAATGGAGCTTCTTCATTCGCAAGCTAAATCATCTCTTCAACGTATACGTACCGGACCTCGAGTTCTTCGGAAGATCCTACACGACTCGACCGGAGCGAACTGAGGCGTTTCAAGCTGAATGTGTGATGAAGGTAATGGAAATGAAGAGTGTGAAGAGTGTGAGTGTTGTTGGGTTGAGTTATGGTGGGTTTGTGGCGTATAGTATGGGGGTGAAGTACGTGGAGTTTGTGGAGAGAGTTGTGATATGTGGGTCTGGGGTTTGTTTGGAAGAGAGAGATTTGAAAGAAGGTGTTTTTCCTGTTTATGATTTGGATGAGGCTGCTGATGTTTTGGTGCCGCAAACGCCGGATAAGCTTAGGGAGCTTTTTGGATATGCCTTTTTTAAATCTCCTTCTTTGGCTTGGTTGCCATCTTGCTTTTTACTTGATTTCATTCATGTAAGTCTTTCAAATACTCTTTTTTTTTTATGTGGCAGCAACCGCAGCCGTAACACCTGATACTATTTATTGCAGCATTTTTCGCGTTTCTTAAAACCTTGTCGTCTATGTAATGATTACATTAGATATGTTTATGCTGCAAATTCAAACTAACTAGACTATAGTATGAAATTGGTGAAGCCATAGGGTGATAGAATATGTGAATTTGAGTAGGTAATGTGCAGGGATTATGTAAAAGAAAAAAAGAGAATTGATCAAAGCCATTGCAAATGGTAGAAACTTTCTGATGACCTCCCTAAGATTTCTCAGGTAATCATTTCTACTTTCCTCTTAGTCAGATAAATTCTTCTCCGAACATACTTTTAGAAAACCCCCTAGTTGTACACATAGATTAACTTAAAATCAATGAAGTATCTCAGGTAAACCACATCTATATAAGTGACACTCTTGTCTACAAAAATGTACGTGCCAACCAGGTATAACATATATTTTCTCACTACGTATTCTCTATGATGCATAACCTGCACAACGTCAAAAGTTGCATCTTTGTAAGTTATGCGAAGATGTATTTCAGGAATTTATTTACATAGCCTTAAAATCTGGCTCAAAAACGAATGTGAATGAGTGTGTTTGAATACGCATCTCCGAATTCAATTATTAATGACACCAATTGGAATATTCCTCATAGCTTCCATTTCGGCTCCTCAAGTTATTAAAGATATTTTGAAGATCAACTTGCCATTTAATATAACTACTATTGATGAACTCATTTAGACATGATTTGCAAATAGTGATCTATATTTTAAAGATGGCTACAAATGTATCAGGAAAGATCGCATTGAGTCTTATTGGAAATAAAATTCATTTGACATCCTTACATACCTCCTGTTAAGTCTTTAGTGACTTGGAAGGTAATGCATATTATTATTATAACAGAAGAAAACCTGTTTCGAAGGGGAATGCATATGGTTTCAAAGTTACGTATACTTCTTTCAAGGTAATGCATATTATTTTTATATTTAACTTGACGTTTTACGTAACATAAATATATAAAATATCATATTTCAATTCTAATTTATAATAATACATTTAAAAATAAAAAATAATCATTAACATTTACTAATAAGCTTAACTTCCTATAAAAATTAATAAATTTATGATATAATTTAAACATAAAATATAATATAATAAAAATAATAATGAAAAAAATACTATTCATATTTAATTATGTAAATCAATCTAGTAGGTTTAAAAGGTATTTGTAGATGTTTTTGATTGGCTGCATTTTATGGTAAAACATTGATGTATGTGTGAATGTCATGACTGATGTTATGACATACATAATGTGTACTGCAGGGTATGTTTGGATAGCTAAGAGCAAAGTATGTTTGATGTCATGTTGGATGTTATGACATCAAGCAGCTGACATCAGGGCGCGTGTTTTAGGTTCTGGTATATTGCATGAGGAAGCTCAGGCTATACTTCAGGAAACATTTCAGGAAGCTTAGTTATCTCAGGCGAAATGCCAGGCATTGCTGAGGATAACCTATGACCTGACTGGTAGTGCGCAGCTTAATGAAAAGAGGTCTTAACTGGGTTAAACCTAATTTCTGCACTAAGGCCCAAGATCTTTCTGCTACTTATAAATAACAAAGTAGCAATCGTAATTGAAGACAGTTCTTGGCAGAGCTTTTGAGACAGAGAGTACAAAGTGTTTGTGAGTGAAGAATTCAGTCTATGTACTGTGATCTTCACGTGTGTGTTTGTGTCTTAGGATTACTTGTGAGCCAAGCAATTATCTATTGGATGATTGCATTAGACTAATGTGTTTTGAGCTGTACTCTGTGTGTCTCTCTCTAAGCTTTTAAGCATGAGTGTTGTGTCTCTTGATTGAAGCTGTGAAGCAAGATCAAGACTTGTTTGAAGTGTGTCTTCAATTTTATCTGTAACTGTAATTGGTTGATATCACTGCTGTGATTGAGGGGGAGTGAGTAGGAATTCAGGTCTAGTGTTAGGCTGAAGTTGCATTGGGTAGGTCTTATGTGAAGAGTGCAAACTGGTTGTTTGACTTTGAATTAATTCTACTAATAGTGGATTTCCTCTCTGGCTTGGAAGCCCCCAGATGTAGGTGTTATTTGTACTGAACTGGGTCAACAATTCTCTGTGTTATTTACTGTTTTCACTTTCCAGTTTATTAAGGTCTTTAGTCTGTTCAGTAGTGGATGTCATAACATACGTTATAACATCAACTATTTGGTACCTAGAATTTCAATTGGCATCAGAGCAGACACCCTGCCTGTTATTTTCTGGGTGAGATCTAGGGAAGATAAATTCTGGTACTATGGACAAGGATATAGGATTCACAAATAGACCACCAATTCTGGATGGCTCTAACTATGACTACTGCAAACCTCGTATGATAGCCTTCTTGAAGTCTCTAGATATCAAGGCATGGAAAGCTGCTAACTCAGGATGGGAACATCCACTGAAGACTGATAAAGATGGATCATCTGTGTTAATACCTGAGGAAGAATGGACCAAAGAGCAAGAAGCCTTGGCTCTTGGGAATTCTAAGGCCTTGAATGCTTTATTCAATGGAATAGACAAGAATCTTTTCAGGCTTGTGCATCACTGTGAACTGGGCAAAGAGGTTTGGGATACTCTCAAAACAACTCATGAAGGTACCTCTAAGGTTAAAATGTCAAGATTACAGATGCTAACCACCAAGTTTGAAAATCTGAGAATGAAGGAGGATAAAACTATTCATGAATTCTACATGAATATTCTTGAAATCGCCAATACCTCAGGAGCTTTAGGAGAAAAGATGTCTGAAGAAAAGCTTGTAAGGAAGATTCTCAGATCATTGCCCAAAAGGTTTGCCATGAAGGTTACTGCTATTGAAGAGGCTCAGGATATAAGCAACATGAAGGTTGATGAACTCATTGGTTCTCTACAAACCTTTGAGATGGGGATGTGTGAAACTGTTGAAAAGAAGAACAAAAGCATAACTCTTGTGTCAAATATTGCAGAGGACTCAGATGAAGACAATGGTGGAAATGATGAAAATCTGTCAAAAACTATAGCTATGCTTGGAAGACAATTCAACAAACTGATTAAAAGAATAAATCAGAAGACCAAACCTAATGTCAAGAACATCTCCTCTGACATCAGCAGAAGAGGTAAATATGAAAAGAAGCCCAACCAAGGTAAAGGAATTCAATGCCATGAACGTGAAGGCTATGGTCACATTAGAGCTGAATGTCCCACCTATCTCAAGAAGCAGAAGAAAAGCCTAACTGTCACCTGGTCAGATGGATATTCTGAGAGTGGATTAGAAGAAGAGTCTGCAAAACATGTTACTGCACTAAATCTCCTTCTTTGGCTTGGTTGCCATCTTGCTTTTTACTTGATTTCATTCATGTAAGTCTTTCAAATACTCTCTTTTTTGGTTAATCAATGTCCTTGCACACATTAAAAACCACATCAAACAACTTCAACGTAGTTTCTTCAAGAATTTTTCTCAGAGTTCAAAATTTAGATCTCAGCATAATTAGTTATGAATTTTTTTTAACATTAAGCGCTTTTAACTACCCTATGATAACTATTACTATGTTTGGTTTTATTTATAAGAAAAAATTTGCTTTTTAGATTTATTCAATAATTAATATATCTGCTCTATATATATTTTGTTCAAATAAATTGCTATTCAACTAATTTAAAAATAATTTTTATTTTTATGAATAAGATCAAAAAGAGTATAAGCAAATTTGACTTTTTTGATACATTTAATCGTATTTAGTGTATATATGAACTAGATACATTAATAATCAATAGTCATATGTAACAAAAAAATAAATAATAATAATAGTTACCGGAGAGTGCATGTATTTTAAATGCTTTCTAATCAAAATTCATACATGGCAGCAACCGTAATCGCAACACCTGGTACTATTTATTGCAGCATTTTTTTTGGCGTTTCTTAAAACCTTGTCCTCTATGTAATGATTACATTAGATATGTTTATGCTGCAAATTCAAACTAACTAGACTATAGTATGAAATTGGTGAAGCCATAGGGTGATAGAATATGTGAATTTGAGTAGGTAATGTGCAGGGATTATGTAAAAGAAAAAAGAGAATTGATCAAAGCCATTGCAAAGGGTAGAAATCCTTCTGACCTCCCTAAGATGTCTCAGGTAATTCATTTCTACTTTCCTCTTAGTCAGATAAATTCTTCTCCGATTATAATAATTTTGAAATATTTAAATGAACTCATTTTTGTGCAGCCTACATTAATCATCTGGGGAGAACATGATCAAGTATTTCCTTTAGAACTTGGTCACAGATTGAAAAGGTTTAAATTTTAGTAACACTTTTATTGTACTTGTTAGTCGTTTAAATTTGAATGTTTTGATCTCATTGGATTTGAAACACAGGCATTTAGGGGACAAGGCTGAAATAAAGATCATCAAGAATGCAGGGCATGCATTTTGTATGGAAAAGTCTAAAGAATTCTTCACTATCTTGAAGTCCTTTCTAGTTGAGTCACAGTTGCAAAATATGTTTCATGTGTGAGTTCAAATGCTAAAAGTGAAAGTAAAACTACTATATAGGCGACAAAATAACATGAGAGTTTTTTTTAAGAGAAATTATTAAGAAAGATCTCGAGATTAACGATTTAAATAAAAATATAATTCTAAATAAAATATTATGATAAAAATTGATTTATATAGTCGATTTCACTTAGTTAAATAAGATTTGATTGTTGTAGAAGATTCAATACAAGTAAGTTTAAGACATATTTTATCAATAGAATTCTTTGGTCTCATTGTATTGAATCAAAGGTTCTTGAATTTTGTTGTTCTTAATAGAGGAAAAAATCAAACTATACATTATGATATAGGTTGTTTTTCATTATCATTAATTTTTTGAGTCCAGTTTCTTTCATTTGTATCAAAATAAAGTTCATATTGTTGGATATAAAGTTTCAAATTATTTATGTTTCAAAAAGAAGTTGTTAATTCCGATCCTATTTATAAAAAAAATTATTTTTTAAATTTAGTGAGTAATCAATGTATGTGGATTGTATAATAAACTAGATAAGATAATTATTTGATGAATTTAAATTTTTTTTTTTTTATAAATAATATTAGAGAGAGAAAGAGAGAGAGAGAGAGAGAGAGTAATATAATTGCAAGAAATCAGAGTTTAACTAAAAATAAAACAAATAAAATAACATTATAATTTGTTATATTCTTTCAAAATAACTTATTAAATTTTAAATATTGGAAATTATGTAAGGCATGCTAAGTATTGGTTTGATTCTCCTCCTTAGTTAAAAATTAAAATTGTTTTTAAAATTTATAAATATATTTTCGAATGTATTTTAAATATACTTAATTATGCGTAAGTGAGCCGCATACTTATTTTGTAAAAAGAAATTCAAAAACAATACTTTTAGAAAAATTGCATGAACCGAAATTTTAGACTACGCCCTATCAAATGGGTGAATGAATGAACATGGACAATATCATCCACCCATACTTTCGATTTTATTCTAAAAATATATTTTTAGACTTTTTATTTATTTATAAAATGAAGGTGTGTCTTACTTATGCATGTGTGTATAAAAGTACATTTCCATAACCTAAAAAACATTTTTGAATTTTTATATGATATTTTTCCACCAATTAGAATGGGACCACCCTAACGGTTAGAAAAACATCCACACAAAAAAGTTCAAAAATGTCATTTAGATTCCAAAAATACATTTTCGGATGCACCCTTTCCACATGTTCTATAGTGAGTCTCACCCCATATGTTTTTCAAAATTTAGTCAGGATATGTATCTACGGATCCATTCGATACACACTCAATCCATTCCTAATTGAAACACTCTCATTTTGACATAAAATGATTCATAAATGCATCTCCGTATTCACACTAGATAGAATTCAGAGACGCATTTTTGTATTCACGTCAGACAATAATTTTTTATTTTGTTTTACATATATACTTATGTAATTGAAGATGTATTATAGTTATACTATCATATTCAATTTTATATAAATTAAACCATACACTAATCAAATAATATGAAAACAACATATATAAATGAATAAATCAGGAAATACAATGAAGTCAAAATAAAGTACAAACGATAATAGTGCTTATAATAAAAATACTATATACTACTGCGTATGCCTGAATCGAGCCCTCAAGTTCCTATGCTGCCTCCTACACAGTAGTGTCGACCGTGTCTTCTCTATGATGGCATCTAAATTGTCCCTTTCCTAATAGCCTTCCGAAAAGACTCATCTGCCTATACCCGCCTGCATAATATCCATTATATGCCGGCATCTAGATAACACATAAACATTGTGATTTACCATACCTGTTCCTCCTCTAGTATCTCTTGATGAACTGGCCTTGATGGATCTCATGGAGCATCTCATGTCATATAAGGATGTGACACCTTAAAATACCACTGGATGTAGCGTGTGCAACATTCCAAACGTTATGAGTTATGGTACTTTGTGCCTCATCTCATACCAGATGATCCGATACAAGATGATTAAGGAAATCATAGTACATGACATCTATATCTCTGCATGCCATAGCGATAGGAGCAGAATCGAAGGGGTCTTTGGGAACAAATTACATGTAACCAAACTGTCGCATGATGCACTCAGGTAGATGTGGATATATCATAAGTGACCCGCAAGCCAACATTTGAGAGTAGAAGGCTATGTCTTACAAGGGACGCATCTCATAGTGATCTACATATTCTTGGAAGTGTATATCCCATGCTTTCAAGCAATCAATATACACTATGAATGGTTATGTCACCTGATTCCCTCTAAGTGAGGCGAATGCAGAAGCACGTGACGTATCTTCAATGTAGATCAGAACACATAACTAGTCGGATATACGTGGGAAGTGCTAGAGGATCCAAGCCAAACAATGGTACATAATCATTAGTAATGACGTAGCATAAGTGTTATGAAAATGACACACAAACACTAAAAGATGAAGAAATATTACCGTGAACAGTGTGCAACTGCTTGTCATCTGTTTGGTTTTCCACATACAACCTTCAACTAATTTAGAGTATAGGTAGACCATACAATTGTCCCCTAGTTGTACACATAGATTAACTTAAAATCAATGAAGTATCTCTGGTAAACCACATCTATATAAGTGGCACTCTTGTCTACAAAAATGTACGTGCCAATCAGGTATAACATATATTTTCTCGCCTACGTATGCTCTATGATGCATAACTTGCACAACGTCAAAAGTTGCATCTTTGTAAGTTATGCGAAGATGTATTTCAAAATTATTTTTACATAGCCTTAGGATCTGGCTCAAAAACGAATGTGAATGGGTGTGTTCGAATACGCATCTCCGAATTCAATTATTAATGACACCAATTGGAATATTCCTCATGGCTTCCATTTCGGCTCCTCAAGTTGTTAAATATATTTTGAAGATCAACTTGTCATTTGATACAACTACTATTGATGAACTCATTTAGACATGATTTGCAAATAGTGATCTATATTTTAAAGATGGCTACAAGTGTATCAGGAAAGATCGCATTGAGTCTTCTTGGAAATAAAATTCATTTGACATCCCTACATACCTCCTGTTAAGTCTTTAGTGACTTGGAAGGTAATGCATATTATTATTATAACAGAAGAAAACCTGTTTCGAAGGGGAATGCATATGGTTTCAAAGTTACGTATACTTCTTTCAAGGTAATGCATATTATTTTTATATTTAACTTGACGTTTTACGTAACATAAATATATAAAATATCATATTTCAATTCTAATTTATAATAATACATTTAAAAATAAAAATAATCATTAACATTTACTAATAAGCTTAACTTCCTATAAAAATTAATAAGTTTATAATATAATTTAAACATAAAATATAATATAATAAAAATAATAATGAAAAAATATTATTCATATTTAATTATGTAAATCAATCTAGTAGGTTTAAAAGGTATTTGTAGATATTTTTGATTGGCTGCATTTTGTGGTAAAACATTGATGTATGTGTCAATGTCATGACTGATGTTATGACATACATAATGAGTGTACTGCAGGGTAAGTTTAGATAGCTAAGAGCAAAGTATGTTGGATGTCATGCTGGATGTTATGACATCAAGCAGCTGGCATCAGGGCGCGTGTTTTAGGTTCTGGTATATTGCATGAGGAAACGCAGGCTATACTTCAGGAAACATTTTAGGAAGCTTAGTTATCTCAGGCGAAATGCCAGGCATTGCTGAGGATAACCTATGACCTGACTGTTAGTGTGCAGCTTAACGAAAAGTGGTCTTAACAGGGTTAAACCTAATTTCTGCACTAAGGCCCAAGATCTTTCTGCTGCTTATGAATAACAAAGTAGCAATCCTAATTGAAGACAGTTCTTGGCAGAGCTTTTGAGACAGAGAGTACAGAGTGTTTGTGAGTGAAGAATTCAGTCTGTGTACTGTGATCTTCACGTGTGTGTTTGTGTCTTAGGATTACTTGTGAGCCAAGCAATTATCTCTTGGATGATTGCATTGGACTAGTGTGTTTTGAGCTGTACTCTGTGTGTGTCACTATAAGCTTTTAAGCATGAGTGTTGTGTCTCTTGATTGAAGTTGTGAAGCAAGATCAAGACTTGTTTGAAGTGTGTCTTCAATTTTATCTGTAACTGTAATTGGTTGATATCACTGCTGTGATTGAGGGGGAGTGAGTAGGAATTCAGGTCTAGTGTTAGGCTGAAGTTGCATTGGGTAGGTCTTAAGTGAAGAGTGCAAACTGGTTGTATGACTCTGAATTAATTCTACTAATAGTGGATTTCCTCCCTGGCTTGGAAGCCCCCAGATGTAGGTGTGATTTGCACTGAACTGGGTCAACAATTCTCTGTGTTATTTACTGTTTTCACTTTCCAGTTTATTAAGGTCTTTAGTCTGTTCAATAGTGGATGTCATAACATCCGTTATAACATCAACTGTTTGGTACCTAGAATTTCAATTGGCATCAGAGCAGGCACCCTGCCTGTTATTTTCTGGGTGAGATCTAGGGAAGATATATTCTGATACTATGGATAAGGATATAGGATTCACAAATAGACCACCAATTCTGGATGGCTCTAACTATGACTACTGGAAACCTCATATGATAGCCTTCTTGAAGTCTCTAGATATTAAGGCATGGAGAGTTGCTAACTCAGGATGGGAACATCCACTGAAGACTGATAAAGATGGATCATCTGTGTTAATACCTAATGAAGAATGGACCAAAGAGCAAGAAGCCTTGGCTCTTGGGAATTATAAGGCCTTGAATGCTTTATTCAATGGAATAGACAAGAATATTTTCAGGCTTGTGCATCACTGTGAACTGGCCAAAGAGGTTTGGGATACTCTCAAAACAACTCATGAAGGTACCTCTAAGGTTAAAATGTCAAGATTATAGATGCTGACCACCAAGTTTGAAAATCTGAGAATGAAGGAGGATGAAACTATTCATGAACTCTACATGAATATTCTTGAAATTGCCAATACCTCAGGAGCT